CCTCCAAGGAGTTCACTGCAGCCTCCTCCTCTTCCACCCACTGCCTGCTTCTCTCCAGGCTCCCTTTACCCCCCGTACCACTGGGGGGCAGGCTATGGAGCAGGAGGCAGTGGTGGAGATGCTGCAGAGGAGGAGGAGCTAGTTTGGGGCAGTATTTCCTGTTTTGCCTCAGGCGGCAGAATGTCCTGCGCAGGCCCTGATGTCAAGTATTCATAATGCTGCTTAATTGTTTTGTACTGGGGCATTTTACTTCGCTTTCCCACATGTCTTCTTTTTTTTAGACACTTTGTAAAACAATAAAAATAAATACCTGTTTGGCATGAGTCGTTCATTCATCAGTTCATTCTTTCCCCCGCCCTCTCAATTTTTGTCATGCTTTGTTGGCATATATTTGCCCACTTCTGCAGGAATTCTGTGAGCCTCGAGCCATTTCGTATGTATTATTTGTTCTGTCTGTTCTCGGCGATTAGCAGCACAAACAATCAGCGTTGTGCAATTGGAGAGAGTAATCACAGCCCATTGCAACAGCCTGGGTGGTGAAGAGACTCTTAAGCAAGAGTGAGTGTCCCCTTTTTCCACACGAGCAGCTGATATTATTTACTGGACTAACACGGCACAGCTCCCACAACTTGCCTGGGCTGGCCGAGATGTGACAATGCAAAGGAGGAACAAGGGAAATTCTTCACTGCTTTGTCAAAACAGGCAGGCCACTACAAGCGTCTCTGCACAAAACGATCCTTGCGCTGCAACAACAACGAAAAGCTAACCACGGAAATGAACAAAGCAGGCTTTAAAGTCAAAAGGCAGGTCATGCAGCTGGAAGGTTGATCCTTACTAATCTGTTTGGAAAAGAACTGCCTTTGCAACATTAAACCAGTCTTATGCTGATATACCCTTGAGTTTAGTTTGCCATGTTTACTTTTACCTGGGTGGGTTGGCTAGCAATCTCTGCACATGGATTTGCTGTGTGGAATATAGTCAACTTATCTGAAGCCTATAGGGACTGGTGTCATGTGTAGGTATTGTTGGACATTTGATAAGGCCCATACCTTTGCAGAGGGGACGCGGGTGGTGCTGTGGGTTAAACCACAGAGCCTAGGGCTTGCCGATCAGAAGGTTGGCGGTTCGAATCCCCACGACGGGGTGAGCTCCCGTTGCTCGGTCCCTGTTCCTGCCAACCTAGCAGTTTGAAAGCACGTCAAAGTGCAAGTAGATAAATAGGTACCACTTCGGCGGGAAGGTAAACAGAGTTTCCATGCGCTGCTCTGGTTCGCCAGAAGCGGCTTAGTCATGCTGGCCACATGACCTGGAAGCTGTACGCCGGCTCCCTCAGCCAGTAAAGTGAGATGGGCACCGCAACCCCAGAGTCGTCTGCAACTGGACCTAATGGTCAGGGGTCCCTTTACCTTTTTACACCTCTGCAGGTGGCCACGATCCATCTTTTGAGACCCCTTGCCCTGCTTCTTGTATGTTTTGCACTGCCTATGTTCACCTGCATCTCCAATAGGGATAGGGAAGAAATTTGGTTTGGTTAAAGGTAAAGGGTAAAGGGACCCCTGACCATTAGGTCCAGTCGTGACCGACTCTGGGGTTGCGGCGCTCATCTTGCTTTATTGGCCAAGGGAGCCAGTGTTTGTCCGCAGACAGCTTCCAGGTCATGTGGCCAGCATGACTAAGCCGCTTCTGGCGAACCAGAGCAGCGCATGGAAACTCTGTTTACCTTCCCGCCGGAGTGGTACCTATTTATCTACTTGCACTTTGACATGCTTTCGAACTGCTAGGTTGGCAGGAGCAGGGACTGAGCAACGGGAGCTCACCCCGTCGCAGGGATTCGAACTGCCGACCTGCTACAGACCTATCTAGAGTGCACTTTCTAAAACAATATACAGACCAGAAACTCCTCTCAAATTTGCACCTCTCTTAATTTTCTTGTGATGAAGTTCTCCAACCAAAGACTGTGTACATTTTTTTTTTTATGTTTGCCTGAAACGTGGATCAAGATGCATTTATTCATAAAAACAACGTATCAACATGCAGTATATTTGGAGAAACTGCTTGCAAAAATGTGCATATCAGGGGAAATTATGTGCAAAAATTTGCACTAACATGCTGACTAATTTTCATTTAAAAATATATTTTTTCAATGGAAAGGAATTCCACAGTTGTGGATGCCATTATGGAGGAGGGCCCTGCCCCACCAATCTTGAACGTTTGGGCTGAAATATAATGCATACCCTCCAACATTTCTCCGATGAAAATAGGGGTGTCCTATTCCATAGTAGTAGTAGTAGCAGCAGCAGTAGTAGTAGTAATTTTATTATTCATAGCCTGCCCATCTGACTGCGGCTGGATCTAGACACATCAAAGAAGTATTTCAGTTAAACGCGTTGTAAACTTCGTATGAGAAATCCGGCTGGCAAAAACTGAACTCCACAGCGCCATCTGGTGTCACAGTGTCATAATGCATATACAACGCATATAAAGCGTTTTTTCTTCTCCAATGTAGCTGAGTCCTGGTTTGCCCCAGCCATTCTGGGCGGCTTCCAACACGTATAAAAACACAAAACCATACAGGTCTGCCTTCAGATGTCTTCTATAGGTTGTATAGTTACTTATCTCCTTGGCTCAGGGGTTACATAACTCCATACCCTCCAACATTACTCCAATGAAAACAGGGACATTTCTGAAAGCAGGGCATTCTGGGATCAAATCGGAAACTGGGATGGCTTCTGTAAATCTGGGACTGCCCCTGGAAAATAGGGACACTTGGAGGGTCTGCATAATGGGGGGAGGGAATACTCCATAGTCTCCAGTTGCCGCGAAAATGTGGGGACCTTCACAGAACCCCTTAAGCCATCAAGGCTTCTCACTTTGTCATGCAGAGTCCTGAATTGCAAGCCTTTCCTTCCTCTGAGATTAAGAGTCTCATGCTCTACTGACTGAGCTATCCCAGTACGCGCACACACACACACACACACACACACACACACTTTTGATTTAAATTTGTTGCTAATCTTAACTGTAATGACAATGAGCTGATCCAGCACACCACCTCCACCACCAACTGCCCAAAACTGCTGTTCAAAATAATGGACATCAACTTTTCCACTGATGGAATTCCTGCGTAAAATTATTAGAATAATTATGAGATCTAATGCAACTCACCCTCCTGGAGCTACTTACTTTCTTTTTATACTTAACCGCATTTTAATTTTATCAGTTGTACATTTAATGACTGCTTTTTTCAGAGAGGGCTTTTTGTTTTTTGTTGTTGCAAATTTTGCTATCGCGTTTTAAGTTACAGTCCAATTTGAAGTTTCAGAAAGGTCCATGGTGTTGCTTTTTTTATTCCAAAAAATCTAATTAGGCAGTTATGTTACTAATGCGATGGAAAATGCTAATGCAGTTGTAGTGCAATGTTTGACAGTTCCTTGTGTGCGTATGATCTGAGGCACCGTTTGGAACCTTCTTAATAGATTAAGTCACTTTTAAGGCATGATGCGTTTCCTGTAGGAAAGTGAATTATGTTTCATCATCAGTCATGGGGGAGAGACAGAGAGGAGGGATTAGTTTAACATTTTTCAATGTATGTGGACTGATATCAAATACATTTGTATAAAAATGAAATCACTTGCCTGAAATCCAAGGGTTAGGATTCCTAATCAACAAACTTAGTTTCTTTTCCTTTCTCTCCATTTCTCTATTTTCCCACTCCCATTGGTTCCATCCAATGCTAACCCCATGCTGAGCAGACCCACTGAAATTAATGGACATGACTAACTGAGGTCCATTCATTTCAATGGGTCCACTCTTGAGTATGACGAACATTGGAAACAACCTTTAAATTCAGTTTTCTCTATTTCTCTATCAGTTTCCTTTTTCCTTTTTAAAAAGCCTTCACAAAGATTTGCTTGCATTTTTGTGTGCATTTCGCCCAAATAGTAACGTTTTGGGAAGGAATTCTGCCAGGAGTTATGCATTTTAATGTCGTTTCACTAATATATGCATTTTAATGCACACTTTCCTTAAATATGATTTTTGAGGTTGGAGAACTGCTTTGTAAAATTCAGAGAAGTGCAAATTTCAGAGGGCAATAGCTGCATTTTGTTTCAGTAAGTGCAAAATGACAGGTTTGCATTAAAATGCACACCAAATTTCTCCCCTGTCTCAACAGGGATAGATGGTAGCTTTGTGGCCTGCCTGGGGGTTTCCCCACAGCAAGGTAAAAGGTGAAAAAGGACCCCTGGACCGTTAAGTCCAGTCAAAGGTGATTATGGGGTTGCGGCGCTCATCTTGCTTTGAGGCCGAAGCTTTCCGGGTCATGTGGCCAGCATGACTGAACCGCTTCTGATGCAATGGAACACCGTGACGGAAAAGGCGTTTACCTTCCCGCCGCAGTGGTCCCTATTTATCTACTTGCACTGGTGTGCTTTCAAACTGCTAGGTTGGCAGGAGCAGGGACCGAACAACGGGAGCTCACTCCGTCACAGGGATTTGAACCACAACCTTCCGATCAGCAAGCCCACGAGGCTCAGTGGTTTAGACCACAGTGCCACTCGCGCATATCCGGCGCCGTGGTGCAAAGATCCCTCCGGTGCCCTGCCCCCATTTCCTAGAGTTGTTGACCTTTTCCCAAGCCTCTGCAGGGATCGCTCTCCTCCCGCGGAGGCTTGGGAAGGAAGCTGTACTCCCACGTGTCATATTCCTAATGGGGGGGAGCCTCTCCCACAACAAAGCGACGGGGGCCCTTTCCTTTCATTTAAAGCACACCCAACGCATTTGAAGTGGATGCCTTCAAAGAATCCTGAGAGGTGGTGGTTTGTTAGAGGGAGCTGGGAATTGTAGTTCGGGGATTGTAGTTCCCAGGATTCTTGAGTGTGGGGTGTCAGGCCATGTGCTTTCAATTGGGGGGGGAGGTCCTGATCAGCTGCCGTGTGCGTGGATCCAAATTAGAGCACCCGGGGACACAAACCCCCCTGGGGAGAAGGGAGCCCAGGCCTTCAAGCTGGGTCATGATCCAGCACCCAGCACCGCCTCCTCCTCCTGCCGTGTGACTCACCCGGTGCCGAAGTCCATGTTGAGCACTGTGTTGCGGCGCTGGGCGCACAGCAGTGACACCAGCCAGTTCTTGTACTCGGCGGTGCACTTTGCATGTCGCTGAAGTAGAGCTGCCAGATCCGCGCTGCGTGGCCATCGGCGTACTGGTTCGGCAGCCCCTTGGCCGCCATGCCCAGCGAGCGGGTCCGGTAGATGCTGTCCACCATGGCGAGTGCACAGAGGCTCCTGCGGGCACCGACGGATGGGAGACTGCTCATACCCACGAGCGTGCACCTAGCTGCTGTTGCTGCTGCTCCTGCTGCTGCCAGCCATATAGTTGGCAGGGTGGGCGCAGCTTCCATCCTAAGCCTCTGCAGGGGTCGGTCTCCTCACATGGAGGCTTGGGAGGCAAGCTGCACGCCCGCCAGCCATATGGTTGATGGGGCACGGCTGGCGGGTGTGGAGGGAAAGGGGAGGCCACTGGCAAAGCCGCACAGCTCTCCCACTCACTGGGGCGCCCCTGAGAGGCCAGCGCCCTGGCGCTATGCACCACTAAGCCCTATGGGAAAGACGGCTCTGTACCAGTGTCATCTCGCAACATCTGACTGTGCACTGCTGGAATCAAGAGTCTCTGCTTATCCAGCCTTGCTCTTGCATTCCCTCTCAGCTCCCCTGTGGTTATGTATAAACTCTTCAGTGAGTGACATTCTTCCATTTTAGTGGCTTCTAAAAAGCTACTTTTTTAGGGATGTGGGTGGCGCTGTGAGTTAAACCACAGAGCCTAGGACTTGCTGATCAGAAGGTTGGTGGTTCGAATCCCCGCGATGGGGTGAGCTCTCGTTGCTCGGTCCCTGCTCCTGCCAACCTAGCAGTTCAAAAGCACGTCAAAGTGCAAGTAGATAAATAGGTACCGCTCCGGCGGGAGGGTAAATGGCGTTTCCGTGCCCTGCTCTGGTTCGCCAGAAGCGGCTTAGTCATGCTGGCCACATGACCTGGAAGCTGTACACCGGCTTTCTCGGCCAATAAAGCGAGATGAGCACCACAACCCCAGAGTCGGTCACGACTGGACCTAATGGTCAGGGGTCCCTTTACCTTTAAAAAGCTACTTTGCAATTAGTGTAGTTTTATTCTGTCTTTTGGGGGAAGAGAGAAATATAGCTTTTCACAGCAAGGGGAGTTGTTGATCATCTTGGACCTGAAAAGTCCAATGATCCCACAGATACAGAAAAACGATTTTGTTATGTCTTTACAGGTACCAGTGGGTGTGATGAGCAACTGATTCTGAATTCAATTAAGCCAGCGTATCAGTTCAACCACCACCCCTTGCAGGATCCTGGCCAGTTTGCAAGGTTAACAAAACTGCTTCCTGTAATATTAAGAACACCATCTGAGATCTCCAGCCGGGACCCAGCTGAGCAAGTCTACGGAGATGGAAATTGCTAGGAAGCAAAATGAGTGAGTTTGTATCTTAAAAATAAAAGTCACGACTAATCTGTTTCAGCTATTGTTGTAAATGGCTGGAAATTGCCAGACTTAGTAATGTCTAGGCATCAGCTATCCTTACAGAATCAAATCTAATCTTGAATATTTTTTTTTTTTAAAACCCTTCTGATCAAGCGGAAAAAGTGACTTTCTCTAGAAGCCATAAATACTTTCATTTACAACACTTACATTTTGTTCCATTTCTATAAACCGTAAAAAGAGTGACTGCAGTATCACTAATGTATTACTTTGAACGAGTCCAACGAGTTTGACGTAAGGAAGATTGGTGGGTAGTCTCATTTGATTGTTTTCTTCTTCAACCTGGAGGATTTAAATTCATTGGGGGAGGGGGGAGGTGCTTCAAATACATATCAAATTGTCTGGATACATAGGCTAATCCTGCCTAATAGGATTCACTTTGGACATTGGCCTTTTCTATATACCTTTCCCACTGCTAAAATGTAAAATCGATTACTTTGCCCAAAGGATATAAAAGAATAAATGGTTCCATATCAAGGTTCTGATTAGGTTGGAAGTAGCTATGTGATTAACGCTTAGCTCCTTTCCAGTAATATATTACAATACTCTGTGCTTGACAGACACTAGTTGTTGTTGTTGTTGTTGTTGATGATGATGATGATTGTTATGTACTGAAGTTCTCACCCTGGGCCAGCAGGAGGATACTGGAGATAGTTCAGGTCCACATATGCAAATAAGGGATCGAATGTGATGTTCAGTGATTGGAGAGTTACAGAAAGTTGTTACAGTTACGTTGTACTGGAGCTCTATGTAAGCAGGCTGGCTAACCCTTCAGTTCAGTTCTGTTCTGGCCTGTGAATAAACAAGCACTGTGTCGTCTGATATGTTCACCCACAACTTAACAATGATTATACCAGCTCTTCACCAGAAAGGCAGGTTACAGCATATGAAAAATGACATAAGTAAATAAATGAACAACAACCCCGCTCATAACCCCAAAACAACAATTCCACACACATTACAGGGAAGACACTGAAATTAATTATTCTGTTTTCAGAAGTAAATTATGCAGCTCTTCTTTTAGGAAACTCCCAATAGGTTCCAAAATTTGAAAACAAAGAAAAGAACATCAGCTTAAATCCAACTTTTTCACTTCTTAAGAACTTACAGAGGCAGTGGTGTAGTGTTGGTTGCCTGTGCCCGGGGCAGACACGCACACATGTGCTGGGCAGGGGAAGTGCCAGCCCAGTCATTGCTGCTGACACTGCCGGTGCGACCCCACCCCCACGGGAACAAAGTGGGGCTGTGCTGAGCTGCCTGCCCACCTGTGCAAGGGGTAGGCTGGCTGGCCAACACGGCCCTTGGTGGGTGGAGAGGAGCATTGGACGGGACCACTCTGGGGTCGCCTGCATGGGATCACCCGGTTCACACTCCCTCAGAAATAGTTCCCTCAAGCCATGGCCCCCTGGCACCCCCCACTCTATATAGAGGACCCTTCTGGGTCTGACTAATACCTCTAAGAAACCTATAAACAGGACATGAGGAAAATCCCTCTCTCTCGTTGTTACCAAGCACCAGAAATATTTTGCCTCTAACTCAGGAAGCAGCATATAGCCACCACTTTGAAAATCTTAGTGGCTGCACCAGAATCCACCCTGCGTTTGATGCTTCATCATAGATCAGGAGCTTATGATTTCTGAAACAATAAATGCTGTGCATTCTTGTGATATTGGCAGACTTTAAATATGTTACCGTTTCTGCAGCAGCCCAGGAGCATTCACCCAATATTTTAAACTTTTGTGCCAAACCAACCTTCTGTACTCTTATTAAATCTATCAAGGCCATTTGAAACCTAGAGCATGCTATATATACAAGGGCAAGGTGTTTATGCAGCTTAAATACCACAAACTCCACTATACTGTGCAACATTTGTTTAGAGGAGGAAATTATATCACAAATAGCATACCCTCCAACATTTCTCCAATGAAATAGGCACATCCTAAGGAAAAGCAGGACATACCAGGATCAATTCAGAAACTGGGACGGCTTCTCTAATCAGGGACATCCCTGGAAAATAGGGACACTTGGAGGGCTTGAAATAGCATGACGTATTGCACCGGCAAATAAAAGTGAATGTGGATTGACATCTGGGTTTTTCAAGGAGACAAATGCTGTAAATATTAACATGTCCTGATATATTCCCTTCCCAACAAATATCTGATACACAGATGCATGTTTGGTAGAATTCTGCAGGCTTGCTGAATTGCCAGGTATTATTTACTAGAGTAGTGGTGGATGGAAGTGAGAGCTAGACCATAAAGAAGGCTGATCGCCGAAGAATTGATGCTTTTGATTTATGGTGCTGGAGGAGACTCTTGAGAGTCCCATGGACTGCAAGAAGATCAAACCTATCCTTTCTGAAGGAAATCAGCCCTGAGTGCTCACTGGAAGGACAGATCCTGAAGCTGAGGCTCCAATACTTTGGCCGCCTCATGAGAAGAGAAGACTCCCTGGAAAAGACCCTGATGTTGGGAAAGATGGAGTTGACTAAACAACAACAACAACATTTACTAGAGACCTGAGTGGGTGAGGTGGCAAAATAATTCTGGCCATATTTTCTGTTGGCTGTATCTAGTCTTGGTGCTAATAAAATGTGAGGCAGAAAGTGGTCCCTGAAATGCTCTTTCTGTGGGAATGGAGATTCCTTTGCCACAAGGTACTGAAATGTATTGTCAAGGGGGGGGGGGGAGACACAACATCCACTGTAGTAACTCTGGCAATGGGATGGCAGTATGCCGGAACAATTAAGCTACCCAGACGTTTGTTTCTCGAAACTCTTTATTTACATGCCTTCACATGTCTGGCCTTTGTAGCATCTGTTGTGCAATAATGGACTTCCTCTCTTGGAATACTAACATTTTGGTTTAAAGCATTTTTAAACACTCATCGACAGGCATTAAACAAAAACACACATGTTTGAACTTGAAGCAGCATGTGGTTTTACTGTCGCTGAGTGCTTCCCCCACCCCCCTTCTGTATCTCAATTGCTAGCAAAACACATTACAATAAGGTCATATGATCCTCTTTTAATAATGCTACTCAGGTAGCGTAGATAGAAACCTAGAGGAGAGATTTGTTTTCCCAATTCCTCCCTTTAAAAGCAGCAGCATCTGCTGCACAGGGCAAGGAACCATCTCCTGGTAGCGTTAATAAATGATGCTGGTGATTGGGTTCTTTAAAAAACAACAACACTGTATTTATTTAACTGCTTAGAATACATCTAGTTAAGTGAAGGTAAAAAATTGGAACAGGAGTTTGGATAGGCCAATGATGGGGAACCTTCAACCTGGGGGGTGATTGCAGCCCTTCAGAAAGTTTCCCAAGGCTACACCCATCATTGGCTGAGTGTTTTTGCTTGGCTTGAATATGCCCTTGATAATATAATAATAGTTTATTATATACTCCGCCCATCGGGCTGGGTTTCCTCACCCACTCTGGGTGGCTCCCAACAGAATATTAAAACATTATAAAACATCAAACATTACAAACTTCCCTAAATAGAGCTGCCTTCAGATGCCTTCTAAAAGTCAGATAGTTGTCTATTTCCTTGACATCTGACGGGAGGGTGTTCCACAGGGCAGGTGCCACAACTGAGAAGGCCCTCTGCCTGGTTCCCTGTAACCTCACTTCTCGCAGTGAGGGAACCTCCAGAAGGCCCTCGGCACTGGACCTCAGTGTCAGGGCAGAACGTTGGGGGTTCCTTCAGGTATACTAGGCTGAACTTTGAGGGCTTTAAAGGTCAGCACCAACATTTTGAGTTGTGCTCGGAAACGTACTGGGAGCCGATGTAGGTCTTTCAGGACCGGTGTTATGTGTTCTTGGCGGCCACTCTCAGTCACCAGTTTAAGCTGCCGCATTCTGGATTAGTTGCAATTTCCGGGTCACCTTCAAAGGTAGCCCCACGTAGAGCGCATTGCAGTAGTCCAAGCGGGAGATAACCAGAGCATGCACCATTCTGGCAAGACAGTCTGCGGGCAGGTAGGGTCTCAGCCTACGTACCAGATGGAGCTGGTAGAACTCCGATAATAATGCTTTTCGCTTGCCTGGATGGGGAGGACAGTGAGGGGTGGGTGACTGTGTGTAGAAGCTATCAGAGTTCAGATGAAAAGTGGTCTACAAATTTTATAAATAAATAATATGAGCTTCCTTCTGGAAGAACAAGATCTAATTGGAGTACATAATAATAATACTGTACAAGGGTAAACGTTTATATTCATTGCTCCCCCTCCTTTTTATCCCTGACTTTGTCCACCACTGGCGTGTGGTCTTTGGAATTTCACCGTTCTCCACCCCTGAGCAAGGCAGACAAGATAGGCATGGAAAGTGATTTAATCACAGAGCCAAGAGGGGTCAAAGAGGTCATGTAAGAAAACTCTTCCTTGCTACAAGACAAGAACAGCCTCACCGCAAACCTACCAAATCTATTTACATTTTAGTAAGGAGCTGTATCATTAGCACGTCTGAAACCTTTGAAATTTGCACAGATAATGTGTATATTAGGAGGCCGTGTACATAAAAATACATGCATTTGTTGTGTGTGGGGGAACTATACAGAAATGCATTTTATTAGGGGAAATTGCTTGCAAAGGTGTGTATATATTATAAGGACGTCACACTAAAAAAAAAATCCATGTGGATAAATTACAAGCTTTTGGAGAAATGTTGAGAACTCAATCAAAGTGGGGAAAAATAAGAAGCTGAGATAAACTAAAATTGACAGATTCATCCATCCTTACCAGTAACTCACACCTTTGCAAAATTACGTATACATGAAGCATCAAACAAGTCAGAAGTACTTCTGTATTCAAATTCAGTAGGAATAAATCAGTAGGAATATGAACCTGGGAGTTTACAATATTTAAACCTAAAACCTTCGTTTCTATACCATGCTGTCTTTCCATAAACCTGGGGAGAAAATATGGTTCTATGATGCCCACTCTGGAAAGTTGGATACATGGCCACTTCAATTGGTCTATATTTGAGCGGTACAGTTTCCGTTGGCTCTTAACCTCTCTTGGAAATCAATTTGTGGGTTATTAAAGGGAACTGGAATATGTGTCTGAATTCAGCATTTGAAAATGTCTCTTCATCTTTAAGTAATGAGAACTATGGTATGCCATCTGGACCTGGGGATTTCCCTATTCCCTATGAAGTGCCAATAGAAGAAATAGAGGAATATATAAAGAAAAATAAATTAATAGAGATAGCAGAAGAAGACCATAAATTATTAAATGAACCAATATCAACCGTAGAAATTAAGGAATCAATTCAAAAATAAAAAAAATGTCTCAACTAAAGAGAGAGAGAGAACTTCTCCAGATGACCTATTTATTGAGTATTTATCCTGATTTATTTATTGAGCGTCCATCCTTGCGGAAAAGTTGCATAGACGTCAAATACCTGTATTGAGCATTTCTTCTTGTTTGTTTTGGGGGAGGTAATATGACAAGGAGCATTCATCCTGATGTGTTTGTGGGGTGTTTAGTCACCTTCTCATATATCATTCCTTCATCCCACACTTTTTGATTCATTTTCCCATCCTTTTCTACAAGAACTTTCTTTCTTTCTTTCTTTCTTTCTTTCTTTCTTTCTTTCTTTCTTTCTTTCTTTCTTTCTTTGGATTTGTTGAGCTGCAATGTGGTTGAATCCTTCTGACAAAATGCTGACAGCAAGTCCAGCCTGCCTATGAGGCAGACTGAGGCAGCTGCCTCAGGTGGTGGAATCCTGTGGAACGGCACTCGCTGCCCTGCTAGGCCCTGCCCTTCCACTGGAGACACGAGGAATATTGGCAGCCTTCGTCAAGATTTCACCAGCGGTTGCTGCAAGACCCGGGCTCTGACAGTGTCGTGACACCTCATTGTTTCACCTCAGGTGGTGGAACGGATTGGGCCACCTCTGGCTTGACAGTCAGTAGGCGCCCAGAGACAGGGTTCTAGTCTCTTCGAATTCTCTAAATTTACCTAATGTTTCTTAGCCCCATGCCTCTGGTGTTCAGCTTCTCCACTCAAAGCGAGCAGAGTTTTGAATGTCATCAAGCCACTGTCATGTAAGCTGATATGAGTCATGTATCTCAGTGATACTCCTCTGTTCGTAGCAAGGCTTTTAAAAAAAATATTGCACAGAGATAGTTATGAATAGTGATTGGGGGATGAAATTTAAAGAAAGATCAGTTCAGTCTCTTCACTTTGCTGGAGGCATGCCATGTGGCTGGTTGACCCCGTCAAAAAAGTAAAAATCACTGTGACATGGCACACTTTAAATATAGAATAGCTGCATTTACTGAATTTCTTGCAAAAGCATTTTGCTCTCCAATATGAATAAGGCTGTTAGTCTACTGTGGGGTTGGCCTGCACCATCGCTTAGCAGTAAAAGCTTTGCCAGCGTGGGGCTTGTGCGTTAAGACAGTAGAAAGGCATCAATTGCACAGTGATGTGTATTTGCCAATACATGCAACAGGACATAAATCACATAGCTCCACCCTTTAGTGCAGGAATTTTTTTTTCTTGGGTGTGTGTGTAAATAACCAATGAGAAGCACCTATTCTGGTAGGGGGCTTTCACTCCTTGTCCCTGTTGCGGGCATGTGCCTGCAATTTGCATTCCCCGCAAGAGGTAGACTGACGTTTTCTCATTCCCTTTTCCAAAGTAAGTAGTCATACCTTGGCTTTCGAACAGCTTAGTTCCTGAATGTTTTGGCTCCCAACCTTCGCAAACCTGGAAGTGACTGTTCTGGTTTGCAAACTATTTTTGAAAGCCGAACATCTGATGGGGCTTCTGATTGGCTGCAGAATTTGCTTTTCGAGCATTTTGGAAGTCAAACAGACTACTGGAACGGATTCTGTTCGACTTCCAACATACGACTGTATGAGGTAGTAATGTAGTTTGATTTGACAGGGCCAGATAAAGCCTTTTGGCTACCTTTTGGCTAAGGAGGTTCATGGCTCAGTGGTAGAACACCTGCTTTGAACGCAGAAGGTCCTGGGTTCAGTCCCTGGTGCTTTCAGTTTAAATGGATGAAGTAGCACGTTTGGTGGAGGAGTCTGGAAGCAGGGGTGGAAAACCTTTTTCAGTCCAAAGGCTGCATTCACTTCTAATCAACCATTGAGTGCCACATGCCAACAGTGGACACATCTAGAGACCAAGGTGGGTGGAGTGCATTACATTAATCTAGCTGTGAGGTTACTAACGCATCGACTACAGTGGTTAGGCTATCCCTATGCAGGAACAGCTGTAGCTGGTGAACTAGATGAAGCTTGTAAAAGGCACTCTTAGCCACAGAGAAGACGCGGGGACATGGGTGGTGCTGTGGTCTAAACCACTGAGCTCTTAGGCTTGCCAATCAGGAAGTCGGTGGTTCGAATCCCCGTGATGGGGTGAGCTCCTGTTGCTTGGTCCCAGCTCCTGTCAACCTAGCAGTTCGAAAGCACCCCAAAAAGTGCAAGTAGATAACTAGGTACCGCTCCAGCAGGAAGGTAAACGGTATTTCCGTGCGCTGCTCTGGTTTTGGTATTCCATTGTGCCAGAATGCTGGCCACATGACCCAGAAAAACTGTCTGTGGAGTGGAGAAACGCTAACTCCCTCGGCCTGTAAAGCGAGATGAGCGCCACAACCCCAGAGTCATTCACAACTGGACTTAACTGTCAGGGGTCTTTTACCTTTACCTTTTTAGGCATAGAGGACATTTTGGCCTTGAGTGATGAAGGTGTCTCGAGAGTATCCCCAAGCGACGCATGTATCCCTTCAGAGGGGGTTCCACCTGTCTTGCCAAATTCAAGGTGGTTCTTTTAAAAATGAGATTCAGAAGTAATACAAAACACAAGTCAGTGAGAAGATATAATGTTTTATTCTAAACAGCTATCAATACATACCAAGCAAGCACTTCAACCTGCCACTTGGAAGCCCTCAAGAAGTGGCGAAGTGACTCCCCCAGGTAGCCTCGGTTTGCACGGCCCCGTGGCCATCAGTCCATGCATGAGCTTCTCCCAATTCTGCCCCAAACCACCCCGATTTATAGATAGCTTGATAGCTAGCCTGTGTGGCTTGCCCGACTGGCTGTGTGCAATTTATTCATTAGCCACCCCCTCCCAATGCATCACTTTCTCCAAATAATGTCCAACATCAAAGAAGGTACTCATCACTACCACATCCTTCTAACCTAGGACATTCTAGGCTGTTCTCATGCCATCTAAGTGAAGGAATGGGTTTCTGTGTAGTCAGTTTGAAACGGGACCCAAAACCCCCCTTTTCTTCTTTCTCCAAGGGAGCATTTCTAAAATGCATTAACTTGAGCTGTTGAGCAAATGCATAACAAGAACATAGCTGTATAAACAAAGCTCTCTCCTTTATCAGTCACGGCAAAGGATGACCTTGGCTGTTCCAGTGGAGTAGGGATGACATGTCTGGGTCTTATTTTACCACACTCTGACGCATAGACCTAGTCCGGGAACAGCGCCAGAGTGTGTTCTTGGAGTTGGTGACCTCTTGCTCCAAGATAAGAGCATAGGAACAGGAATACCCTTTTATGGTCAGGAGTACAGGAAGGAAAACCCTTTTATGGTTAAGAGTACCGGAGCAGGAACATCTGTGATGTCAACCTGTGTGTACAAGCTGACGTGGCTGGATTCCTGGAGAAGGGGGGAGAGGGTGCCTGGAGCAGGGTCTGCAACCCGCGGCTCCGGAGCCGCATGCGGCTCTTTTACACCTTTGCCGCGGCTCCAGGGCGGATACTAGCGAGGGGAGGAGGCGCATTGTGCGCCCCGACACTCCCCACTGTGGCGGGCGCTGTACTGGCTGCGACGCCGCATGGGGGCGGTGCATGCGTTAGTCACGCACCGTCCCGACGTCACCTTCCCACCCGCCCGCCCGCTACATTGTAAGGGGCATGTACGCTGGTCACTGTTTTGAAGGGGAGTGAAGAACACACACACACAAAAAGGTAACTTGTTAATTTAACGTTTATTTCTATGAGGAGGAGTAATTCTGAGGGGTCAAACAAAGAAATAATAATAAAAGTGACAAAAAAATTATTTTTATAATGACGAGTTTTGCGGCTCCCAGTTTTTTTTCCTTCGGAAACGGGTCCAAGTGGCTCTTTTTGTCTTAAAGGTTGCAGACCCCTGGCCTGGAGTATATATATGCTGCATGAAATTTCTCATTTCTTTGGACTTGCTGTGGACTGACCACCCAAATGCCTTTCTGCTGCTCCAGAGAGCAGAAATAAAGAACTCTTTCTCTGAACCAACCCTCGGTGTCATTTGACTTCCTTCCTCCCGTCCGGGAGCAACGCAGAGCCCACCAATCGATAAAGTCTAATAAGGCTACAAAAGAACTTAAGAGACAAGGAGAAAAAGGAAGGAACAGAGGCAGGAAGAGGGCAACCATGTCAGATCACTGACTCCTCGATATACAATTATCTTCCGGATAGATTGCCCATACACTTCCTGTTATGTACTGAGCTGAATCCTAGAACAATAGGATCCAGAATGCAGCAGTCTGATTGGTCCGCAGGAGCCACCCAATCCAGCTCCAGGTGGAAGTGAATCAGTGACCTGATTGGCCTGCAGGAGCAGCCCGGAATTAGCCAATCATGTGGGGCCCATTGTGTAATTAATGTATATATAGCTAGACGTTTGGGGGAAAGTTTCATTCATTGCTACTATGAGCTGAATAAAGAGCATGAAATTCACACTCGACTCCGAGTATATTTCACTACCCCTTCCAGAACATGTAATTTATCTATCTCCCAGACACGGAAGCCACCTACCCAAGAGTCTCCATCTTCCCAAGATCCAGTCCACTACTGCCTTCAGACACCAATCCAGGCTTTTACAGCCTTTCCTGGTTTAGTAGAGTTGGGTGCCATCAGCCAACCAGGGACACTTTGCTCCCAAACTCCTAATGACTGCCCCTTTTGTGGATGCCATAGGATGTACCTGTGAGTGTATTGGACCCCACAGACACAGTGCTGGAACCCCTCTGTGTTAAGGTTACCAGATTTTTTTCAATCAATCCGGGGACACTTTTCAACTTCCTACTAAATAGATGGATTTTGTATGGGGACTGATTTGTAAATCTGGGGACTGTCCACGGGAAACGGGGACATCTGGTAACCTTACCCTATGTTAAATAAACAGTCTAACGCAGTTTCCTTTGATTCTACTAAGACAGTTTAATTTATTACTCTTTCCCCTGGTATTTTCTGTTACTCGATTCTTCTGCTACCAGATCTAAAAAGCTGTATTGTAAACATTTCTGTCTTTGAGTCTCTATTCCTGCTGGCTTTTATTTTTTGGAGTTCATTTTTAACTCGGTATTTAGCACTGTGAGTGCCACTAACACAGCAATGATCACACCTGACAGTGTAAGCCGTCTATTCAACGGTGTTAAAAAACTGATTTAGTTAACGCTGTAAGCATCTGTGTCAGTTTTTGGTGCCTCTGCTTTCAATCAGTGCAAAATATCCCAGTGAGTTTAAATGTCTCTGTCAATTGGGGGTGGCGGGGAAAAAGAGTTTCCCGCATAGAAGGTTAGTGAATTAGAAGTGTGGGAGGGCTTCTTTGTAAATACTGGGCATTCATAATGGCAAGTTCCATAAATAGATGATATATATTTGATGGTTTAATTCTGATGGCTGCCTTGAAAATTCCTATTGTACTCTGGGTTCTTATGCTAATATTTTGATTTATTCTTTGGTTCAGCTGTGGATTGTTTTTATTACTCTTTTTAAAACTGATAATAGCTTTGAATTGCTCCTGAACAAAAGTTGGGAATATCAGGCTTTTTTATTATTACAGTGGTATCTCGGGTTAAGTACTCAATTTGTTGCGGAGGTCCGTACTTAACTTGAAACTGTTCTTAACCTGAAGCACCACTTTAGCTAATGGGGCCTCCTGCTGCTGCTGCGCCGCCACCACGCGATTTCTGTTCTCATCCTGAAGCAAAGTTCTTAACCTGAAGCACTATTTCTGGGTTAGCGGAGGCTGTAACCTGAAGCGTATGTAACCTGAAGCGTATGTAACCCGAGGTACCACTGTATTTAAAAAATGAATGAAAATAAAGCATGTTTTAAAGTACTCCAAATCATTAAAGGCTGGAATGCAAAACTCCCCAACCCCCCTCACAGATTAAACTAAAAATTTGGGGGAAGACCAGGACTGGCAGGAAGATAACACTGGCATTAATTTACACCCAACAGAACTGAGCTGGGGTATTTATGGGATAAGCAATTTTCAGTAACTTTGTGACAGGTGGTCAATAAAGCTTGCTCAAAGAAGCTTTGGGCAACTGTGGTCATGGTAGATTACCTTTCAGGTTAAGAGCCAGGTACTATGCTGAAGAAACATTAGTGGTTTTGTGGTGTGTTACAACTCACTGTTACTCCCCCGTCCCCGTTGGAAGCAATGTATTGGTTTGTAATTATTTCTAGATGTAATTGACTGGTAACATTCTTAATCGTTTGGTGTGCGCGGAACATAGAAAGCTGTCTTATACAGAGAGCGTTGGCCCATCTAACTCTTTGACTGGCAGTGGTTCTTCAGGGTTTTAGATGGTGGGGACATTTCCAGCCCTTCTTGGAGATGTCAGGGTTTGAATTTAGGACCTTTCATATGCAAAACAGGTGCTGTGACACTGATCCATGGCATTTCCTCCTGTGTAGAGGGCCTGTGTTTTGCAGCGAGGAGGAGGAGGAGTTTGGACTTGATATCCCACTTTATCACTACCCGAAGGAGTCTCAAAGCGGCTAACATTCTCCTTTCCCTTCCTCCCCCACAACAAACACTCTGTGAGGTGAGTGAGGCTGAGAGACTTCAGAGAAGTGTGACTAGCCCAAGGTCACCCAGCAGCTGCAGGTGGAGGAGCGGGGAAGCGAACCCGGTTCACCAGATTACAAGGTCCACCGCTCCTAACCACTACAACCATGCTGGCTCCCAACCTTGTGGTGAAATACAACTTTCTCTGTTCACAAATCCATGGACCAGCAGGTCTTCAGAGGGCTACTCAGG